ATTGAACAAAGTATGGGTGATATATCTTGTTGTATAAGAGTATATACAATTTTTGCAACTTCAATTATATGACTTTTATTTTGTTCAGTAATTTGTTCTAATTCGTTATTAACTATTGTTTCAGCAGCATCAAGTCTTATTGCATCTTTATGTTGTTCAGAAGATGTATGATCAGAACTTTTTTGGCCAAAATTTTTAGATCCTATGCTTCCAAAAACATTTGATTTGTTGTAATATTTACAATATTTACAAAACATCTATTGAGAGATTTTATCAAATTAAAACTATCTGAATTCATTAAGCCAAGAATTTTTAAAAGTAGATTTGGATTTTGCTATAGTCTTTAATTTTTTATTTTTATTAAATGATTGGGTACTTTGATCACTTTCATAATCATATTGATAACATTGATTATTTTCATAATTATGATCATTTCATAGTTGTCTTGAATACTTTCATAATTATGATCACTTTCATAATTGTCTTAAATACTTTCATGATTATTTTGATCACTTGGGTTACTTTTGCTTTGATCTATTAGTTAAGATAATTTTTTTTAACAGAACTTATATACATACTTAATATATTATGTATTAATAATAATAAATTTAATTTATTATTATTCTATAGTTATAAATTTAATTTATTACGTATATTCTAATAATAAGGAATAAAAATTTTATGAATTTAATTTATTACATATTAACAGAAATTTTCCAATTGATAAAAAATTGCGTCAGAATTTGTTAGTCATAACCGGAATTTCCAGCATTTTACAGTACAATTTTGTGCTCTGATTTTCGTGCATCAGTTTTGTGTAACATCACGTACATCAATTTTTTTTGACCAATAAAATCAAATAAAATCATCAGCATCTAAAAAAAGGCAAAAAAAATAAAGAGATTTTATTTGTCACAAAAAAATTTTGATGTACGTGAGGTTACATGAAACTGATGTATGAAAATCATTCCTCAAAAAGAAATTAAGGGAACGCCCACCATGAAAAATTTACTACTGTATTTCCACTATTTGACGTAATTTATATAATGACAAAATAGATGAAAAATTAACATTTTGTGGCCTAATAACTATCAACTTATTTAAAAATCTTTTTATAATAAATTAATATTCTTGAAATACAATATAGTTCTTTGACTTTGTTATTCAACAAAAATCTTGAAAACATAAATTGCTATCAACTATTTCTCTTGTATC